TGCTAGAAGAATGCAAATATTTAAAAAATGAAGAATTCTTTGCATAACCCATTATTCCAAGTTTGCAGAAACCAGTGACGACCAGAACTTTGAAAACATTTAACCAACCATGTTGCGTGAATGACCCTGTATATTTCATATTCAATGTTTATCAATTTACATTATGATATCCAATTATTATAAAACATAATACAAAGTTATTTTATTTAAAAAATGTGGTATTATCAAATTAAGTAGATTTTTAATTTGAGAACCGATGACTATCTGAGGCAAATCTGAACAGACATTTTTATTACTTATGCGACAGGCTAAAACGATCCTACTTTAAGAACAATGTTCAGTTTATTATTTTGCAAGAGACTAAATGTGAAAATTGTAAAAACAACTTGAGAAGGCACAAAAGATATAGAAAAAAAGCACAAATATTATTTTTGTTTATAAAGAATATGCAATAAGTGGCACAACTTGTCAATTAAAATATTTTAGCGATTTGATGGACCCATTCACAAAAATATTTCTTTAAATGTTTTCTACCATATTTGATGGATGCTGTATTAATTAAGGTACGGTTTTTTATAAAAGTGCGCAGCGTACGGTTTGCACGTACAGCAGAATCTGTTGTATTCGACTCACGACAGTTTTGGCCGAGTCGAGTTTAATAGATTATTTCGCATACATATATTCTGTCGTGCTCAAAAACAAATTTAGAAATTAGTTTCACGTTTGTTCTCTTAAAGGTTGTACGTTTAGAAAAATGGATTCTCGCGAACATATCGCAATATTTTTATTAGTCTAAGAAAAGGAGGAACAAGAAGAGTTTATAATGTCAAATCTAAATAAAAGAAATAAAAATGTAAACGAAATTTTTTCATGTAATACAGAAAGTACTTTTAAATTAGCAGTCAAAAGAAGATTGTTTCAAAACGCGAAAAAATTTTGAGAATGTTTTAGACTTTCCAGAGATTTATTTGGAACTCTTATATTATTAACTCTTATTATTATCTTATAATTTATAGGGGATGATATTACTAAAAAGTTTGGCATGAAGGTGTTGCTAAGCGTGGTAGCAATGAAATTGGCTCGTGCTTATTAATGTTTTTAAAAGATCACTGCCAAGACAAATATGTTATATTTTACAGTGATAATTGTGTAGGACAAAACAAAAACAAGTACTTGGCCAGTTTGTATTTGTATGCAGTTCAGGAGTTAGGTATCAAAAGTATTACACATAAGTATTTGGAAGAAGGGCATACACAAAATGAAGGGGATATGATGCATGCCCTAATTGAAAAGCAAAAACAAAGGCAATTAAAATCTGGTACTATCTTTGTTCCTTCTAAGTGGGTTACGGTATTGCAAAATGCAAAGAAAACCGGCAGTCCATTTAAAATTACAGAAATAGTTACAGATGATGTAATTGATTTTAAAAGATTATCAGGGCAGATTGGGAGTAACTTTTCAAAAAATTCAGAAAATGACAAAGTAACATGGAATCAAATAAAAGTAATGCATGTTAATAAGAATGAACCCTTTATTTTACTGTACAAAACTGAATATGACGAGGAATCCAATTTTTCCGAGTTTTTAAAAATAAATGTCAGATTACGTAATCGTGGAAAATTAAGTAACTTGGTGCTTGAAAAAGCATTCTCCCATCCACCCTCTATATCAAATGCAAAGAAAAATGATTTGCTATCACTCTGCAAAGCAAATCTTATTACAAAGCCCTACCATAATTTTTATAAAAATTTGAATTCATCAGCGTATCTTAATGATTACGATGCAGATGATATTGAATGATGCAGTTGCATGTGATCTTAATTTCACAAAAGTTAATTATCTTTTTAAATATTACTAAAGTAATTTAAATTGTTGAAATACATAATATTTTAATAGTACAAGTCCAATGATTACCAACTTTGTATTAAATGTATTTTTATTATTTATGTCAATAGAGTAATGAGAATAAGTTAGTAGAATAGAATTAAATAATTTTAGGCAGTAAGATTGTTTCTGATTCCAATTCAAGTATTATTGTATAATGAAATAAACATTTAATTGTTTTGTATTGTTTAATTAACAAACCTAAAGATGACCTATAGTATCATATCCGTTTTATTAATGGTAAAACAGGCACTTTTGGAGTTGACATGCTTGAGATGTACATTTTTGAGTGGTAATATAGGCACATGTCAAAAAACAATTTAAATATTTATTTTTACGTTTTTTTTTAATGATACTGATGTAAAATACTGGTGAATAAAAATAGTTAGCTGTAGTAAAATTATTTGTATTTACATTATATGTGATTTCATAGCATAAACTATTTTGTTTAAAACTTCAAACGTGATTTACTCAAAACTATACTTTTTGAGTTGTGCCCTTATAGATCTGGAGGTGCGATATGTATTTTATACTTATTTAAAATCAAATAAATATAATTATAATACGACCCTCAAACAACGCAGCGACGCACCAGGGCGTTGCGACGCACAGTTTGGGAAGTACTGATCTAACACGTAAGTATTTAATAAAATTAACTAAATATGTTTTTTTATTTTAGTTGACCTGGATGTAAATTATGGTACATCACTCCATGACACGTACCATAAACGAATTTACACATCGCCTATAAAAGTAGGGGAAGGCAGTTTTGGAGTTGTCTGCAAAGCTATAAATAAATTTACTAATACAAAATATGCTACCAAAGAATTTAGACGTACATTAACTTCCGAAATAAAATACACTGAAATCGGAGAGGGTGTTTAATATTGTGTCACGCCCTATAAAACGGTAAAATCGGTGGTAAATAAATTCAAAATAGTCATTTTTTGTGTAAAATTTTCCGTAGAATTAGAATTTGTTGTCAGAAAACCTCTAAAAGTTATTTGGAAGCTGAAAAACGAAGGAAAAGCGCTAAAAAGGCGGGAAAATCGGAGCGGCTTCAAACATATATAACACATTTCTAAGACAACTTTTATTCGAAAGTACTTGTGTTAAGGCGTCTCTTGTGAAAATTTGAAAAAAATTTAAGATTGTATTTTTGAGATATGAATCTTTCAAAAAAAGCGCTTTGTTTCGCATTTTGTGGCTTTACATGACGTCGCATGGCAATTATGACACCGGGATCGTGTTCAGCGGGAAATTTTACATTGGAAAACATATAGTAGAAATTTGTTTATGCATATTTAGCTCATTGTACTAAAAAGTCGGCGAAACACGAAAAAAATTGATAAAAAGCGTAAAACTTTAATAGCTCACCACGGCCACCATTTTGTATATTAAGGTCTGAAAATTTGTCAATCATGTTTTTTTGTCTAGTACAACATGTGTGTAAAACTTCAGCCAAATCGGAGAGGGTGACACCACCGACTTGTGTCGATTATTGCTGGAATTACCCCATTTACAAGTTTATCTCCTTTTGGAAACCATCCGGCATTTTGTAATAGTTTACTCTGATTTTCATTAACGGCCGATTTTATAATCAAGTTAAAGGAGACTTTAAATTTAAAGTTCCCTTAAGTTTAGATTTTTATTTCATAATCAATTTAAAGGATCCTTTTTATCAAAAGCCGACTTTAACTTTAAAGTGAGGATTTCGGACCTTTAAAGTTGTTAAAGCTTCCTTTAAAGAGTACATAACCTATTTTTTTAATATTTTAAATTTTAACAACACTGTTTGAGGTTAACGTAACTGCCATCAGTGCCATCCTACATTGCAAATTATTTTGTAATAAAATTCTTTAAACTATTAACTATTATACTTTAAAAGCGCAATTATGCATAATTTTGAAACATCTAGTTCAAGTTCATCTGATGAGGAATTTATAGCGGTTAGGAGACCAAAAATTTATAGATTAAGAATAAACTATTTTGAACACTATGATGATCTGGATTTTTACCAAAGATTTAGGTTAAGAAAAGAGACAGTTTTATGCCTTCTGCACAAAATAGAAAACCAAATATCTTTGCCTACAAACAGGTAAGATATTAAAAATTTGTTGATATTAAAATAATTACAATGCTATTTATTTCAGAGGTGGATGCATTACTCCCATGCAACAAATTCTGTTGGCATTAAGATTTTGTGTATCAGGAAGCATGCAATTAAATGTAGCTGATTTTATGGGAGTGTACAGAGCTTCAGAATGCAGAATTATAAAAAGACTATCATTTGCAATTGCATCGTTAAGGCCACAATAAATATATATATGCCTAAAAATCATCAAGAGATGGAAAGAGCTGTTGAAGATTTTTACAAGATCGCTTCATTCCCTAGAACAATTGGTGCAATTGATTGTACTCTAATAAAAATAGATTCTCCAGGAGGTCAGGATGCAAACATTTTTAGGTCCAGAAAATAATTTTTTGCATTGAACGTCCAGACAGTGAGTGATGCAAAATTGAAAATTAGGAATATTGTTGTAAGGTGGCCAGGATCTGTACATGATCAGACAATTTTTAATAACAGTAGGCTGAAGCATAATTTTGAAAGTGGTATGTTTGGCCATTACATGTTGGTTTGTGACAGTGGATACAGTTTAAAACCATATCTAATGACTAAATTGCAGCAAACATCAACACCGGCTGAGGATTTATTTAATGAATCAATCATAAGAACAAGGAATGTAGTAGGACGGCAATATGGTTTGTGGAAAAGAAGATTTCCTATACTCCATTTAGGAATGAGACTAAAATTAGAAAATACCATGGCTGTAATTGTTGCAACAGGAGTGCTTCATAATATTGCCATTGATATGGATGACAATTTTCCTGAGAATGAGCCTGAAGATGATGCAGATGATGAATTAGAACCCATACAAAATAATGAAAATATGTCAGAAAACATAAAAACTTTAGTAATAAATGATCACTTTGGTAGATTGTAAATATATTTATTAATAAAAACAAAATGTAATAAATTTTTTTATTTATTCATTTTCTCCCAATTGTTTTTGTTTTAATTTTATGTCTAAATCCATTAATTTTACATTTTTTTCCTATAGATTTTTTTCTCTTCCTTCCTCAATTTTTCTTCCTTCCTCTTCTGCTTTATAATTCTTCTCTTCCCTTTCCATCCTTTTTCTTCTTTCTTTTTCTTCTGCTTTAAACGTTCTCAGGAGAAGTATATATTTTCTCCTGTAATATTGTTCTTTTGCAGAAAAAACTGGATTTCTAATTTTTGGCAGTAATTTTTTGTTTCTGGGTGTTTGTAAATTGTTTGGAACATATGTACTCCAATTTGTTTTTTCCTCTGTTTTGGGCTTCTTTCTTACTTTGTCAGGTATTTTTTCTTCCTACAACAAATATATTATTTCATCATAAAATGCAATGTTTGCTTTTGGTGTTTAATGTATACAAATGATGTGTGGGTGGGAAAAGGGAGTGTTACCATGATAGGAGCAATAAATGCAATTGGAAACACAGTTCCTCCTCTGTTGGTATTTCCAAGAAAAAATTTCAAACAGCATATGTTAGTTGGGGCTCCACCTGAAAGTGAAGGAGCAGCAAATCCTTCAGGATGGAGCTCGAAAGAGATTTTTTTACAGTGGTTAAACCATTTTATCAAACATGCGGAAAATCGACCAGTCCTGCTTATCATGGATAACCATGACACACATATTAGTTTGGAAGTAATAGAGACCGCTAAGTCCAATAATGTGATCTTGCTTACATTTCCACCCCACACAAGCCATAAGCTCCAGCCATTGGATGTTTCTGTTTTCGGCCCACTTAAAAAATACTATAATAAAGAGTGTGAAGTTTGGATTGCCAATCATCCGGTAAAACGAATTGATATCTATAACATTGCCGAGATTTTGAGCCAAAGTTATGGCCAGGCCTTCTGAACACAAAATACAGTTTCCGCCTTTAAAAGTACTGGTATTTATCCGCTTAATAAGAATTGTTTCAAGGAACATGAATTTTTGCCAGCATCAGTGACCGATATACCACTTGAGCCCCAGCCAGCACCCATCAATATACCATTTGAACCTTAGCCATCTACTTCACAATCAACCAACGAAACACTTCCAACGATTGTTCAAGGTGATGAGATCTCAACCGAAGGTGATGAAGAGGGAGAGACCTTTCCCGAAAGCAGAAAGTCCAATCTAAGCGTGGACGGAAGAAGAGGGCAACCGAAATTTTAACAAGTACCCCCAATATTCAGAAGCTTAAAGATGAACTTGATGAAAAGCTGGAGTCCAAGGTTACGAAAAAGCTTCCATTAGTAAAAAATTGCTTCCCCTAGCTCATCAGAAAATGAAGATCAGAGTGAGCAGGAAATTTCGTTTGCCTCGTCCACACTTACTGATAATTTCGATGAAGAAGAGGATGACGATAGACCTTTGGAAGTGAGCAATTTTGTTCTTGTGAGGTTTGCTACCACAAAAACGATAAAATATTTTGTTGGACAAATCAAAGAGGTGCTACCTGATGAAGAATATATGGTGTCGTTTTTAAGACAATACAGGGAAAAGAAATTCGTTGTTCCAAATGTTGATGTTTCTGTGATACAAAGGGCAGACATTGTTCTGCATCTACCTGAACCAAAAAATACTGGAGGGACATTAAGAACAGCTAGATGCTTTTTTTTTCGATATTGATTTGGACCCTTATAACATCAACTAATCGACCAAACTGAAGACTGAAGATTTTATTTGTATACTTTTTCATTATTTATCTTCTTTAAAATATCACTTTTATGTTTTCTTGAAAGTTTGTTGCTCAAGACTTGTTATGCATGAATATTTGTTATTTTCCCAAAGATGTTGGCATTTAAGACTTACTTTTCGTTATTTTGTTCTCTAAGTTCGCAATAAAAGTTGAAAGCACCAGATTTAGTTTCATTATTTTCTTTTTAAAAATAGTGGCCACTGTAAGACCTATTGGTGGCCACTGTAGCCGCTATTTTCCTACAGTGGCCACATTTTTGAAAAAGAGTAAGTTGCTTTGAAATAGGTTGTTTTTTTTTATTTTTTGCAAAGTTAGCTATAGCAATTTGTAAACAAATAATGAATGTTTTGCTAGGTTTAATTATTTTTTCAAAATTGCTAATAAGTAAAAAGTTATGTCCAACAAAGTAAAAAGGTGGCCACTGTAGGGCATTGTCCGCTAAGTAGATTCGTGAAAGGTCACCTTATAAGATTGGACAATGATAGAACACCCAGTGGACCTATCGAGAGAAGTCAGCATGGGATAACTGAAGGAGAGCAGCCAGTGCCCGACTTGGGCTGTAGTGCCATAAGAGAGGGAGAGTATGAAATGAATTAAGGTGAGTGAAGTACATGTGCTAAGGTAGCTGGGGTATATGCAGTGTAGATATAAGGACCATCTTATACAAAAAGCTGTGAGGTGTTTAGTCCTGGGCAGAAATAGAAGAGAAAGGCTGAAAAAGATGTAGTGGGTGACAATTAGTCAGGATATGGATGTAAAAGGTATTCATATTGATAAGGCACAGGATACAAAAGTATGGAGGAAAATAATTAGAGAAACTGACCCTGCATATTGAGAAAGCAAAGAAAATGATGATGACATTCAGTTTATATAGTTTTTATTAAAAACTCACCAGCTCCGCAGAGGCATAGGAGTTATAATTATTTCAGCATCCTAAAAAGTAATGTTTAATTAGGAACATATAGTCTAAATTATTGTCATCTAAATTCTAAATTGTCAGGGTATCACTTAACAATGATATCTGGAGATGCCTGTAAGAGACATATTAGGTAGTTAAATGATGGCATGTACATTTTTAAAATAAGGGCTAATAAATATATATCAATTTGCCATCAGATTTTTACGAACTATAAAATGTCTACCCTGACAATCCCATTGAATTTGAACTTAAGTATTAAAATTTAATACTTACTAGTATTTGCTGATCCATTTCATCGTTATCTATATACATTTTTTCTTCTGAAGTTATTTTCTACAAAAAATGTTAAATCCGATAATTGAAGGAAACAAATATTGATTGAATGAAAAATATAGTAACAATATTGGATATAATATACAGTAGTTACAATAGATTTCAGTAAAGTTATATGTAATATAAATAAAGCTTTATTATAAATATATGAAACTTTTAGTTACTAAGAGCCGGTTTCACCAACAACAAATAAATCAGTGAATTGTTATTTGTCTATTATATTTTTATTGTAATTCAATACCATTTTTCTCTGTAGCTACTACTGTGTGTATTATGACCAAATATATAATTTACTTACACTAGTACTGGGAATGTTTTCCCACACATAATTAGTTTGTATTGTCTCATCACTATCTAAAATGGTTTTCAAGCCCACCACTGTTTTTTCATTAATAATTCTTAGGGTTGCCACAATCACAGGATCCTCTAAAGTTTTTATTTCAGGACCACCACCAGTGCCTCTTAAATATGACTTCTCTTTGGCCACAACTTTTCTTGTTCTCGTTTTAATGTTATCATATTTATTTTTTACTTGTTCCACTGTTCTCCATACCATATTTTTAGCATTAAAATTAGTTAAAAATTTTTGCCATGCTTCTTCCTACAAAATATGAAATGCAAATGAACATCAACAGCTTGACTGTACGGGCGTAGGAAAATTCGACACTAAGCAGGTAGCGACTAAAATTTAATGGCAATTTTCGACATCAGCCCCAATTCCCGTTTTTATCTTACAGGTATATTCGACACCAAATAAATATAGCTGCGACATAAATAAAATATCATAATTAATTAATTTATTTATTTTAATAAAAGTAATATGCATTTTATTTCTTTATAACTGTAATAATATCTAAATATAATACAACTAGTACCTAATTTTTGTACATTTTACCGTTAATATACTTGTATACAATGATTTATTTGCTATTATAGGAATAATAAGATACAGCTTTTATAAAATCTAACCTACGTATTTTTTAAGATCGTAGTTTATCCATCATTTTCTCCAAAAATGCCAATTTAGCCTTAACAGTAGTATCTTTGATTTTTGCTGGTATATGTAAACTATTTATTTTGACATAAGTGTCTACTTGAAATTCTTTTAACTTTTCAATAAAAATAGAAGGATGTGTTGAATAAAAAGAAGAATTAAATCTCGAATGAAAGGATTCACAGGCATTTGTGGTCCCCGCAATAGACGGATTCTGATTAGACCATATGTATAGTGGAAATAGAGCGCTATCGAAAATGTAATTTTCCAGTAAATAATCTGCATATATATCAAGTGTTGCGTTTATAGGTTTATATGACATTAAATCGTGAAGAAAGCATTCTTCAACTTCTGCTGTATTTAAATAAGTTAAACCAAACGTATGCCTTAACCATTTTCCAATTTCTGAATTTGTATCCTTATATTCTTGTACCAAACCCAAAGATTGAATTTTTTTAAACCAGTTTTGGTGTAAGTGAAAACGACATCCACTAATTTTTGCATTGGGCCACATATACAATAAAGCACAGTGAATTGCTTTTTCAAAGTCCACAAATATTTCAGTTGGCTCTAATGATAATTGAAATGTTTCAAAAATCTTAGACTAATAAAGAAAATAAATTTTTGTATGTCATTGACAATTTGTCCTTTAACAAACAGTATGCTAAAGGAACCTAATGTCCATTTTCCAAGCCATGTATAGTAAATATTTGGTACTGTATGAAAATGTACCATCCATATACAAAGTTTTTAATTTACACAACAAACGAATATTTGTCTCGCATGAAAATACAATTGCATTTAATTCAGGATGATTTAAAAACAAAAAACTTTCATTGCGACAGGTTTTAGGAGAATAATTACTAACCGCGTTATGGACTTCTGATATGCTTTTTGGTAACGGACCTGGTAACAGTTTACGACGACAGTTGTAAATGTTCTTTCTTATGCTAGCTATGTCAGGAACCATCAGCAAATTGGCATCACATTCAGCAACAGCAGTTCTTGTAATTTTGGCAGGCTTTTCCGATATGTCCTCTTGGGCTTTTCTTTTACATGCATTGGTTACCATCTTTACTTCAAGCTTTTTTGGATCGGCTTCATGATTATGTACCAAATCACTTCTTGTGATGGTGAGGTCGTCACAGCCTATTGTAAACACTTTTGCGGAACACTTAGTGTTTCTTTGGATGCAGCGCCAAATATCTCGCCGCTTTTTAACACTTTCTGTTTCGAGAACGAATGATGCTCCACCACTAATAAATCTCGACCACGGGAACTTTTTATCAAACTCATTTTTTAAATATCCGTATACGTGCACAAGTCAACGTCAAACAAGAAATAAATTACAACTGAAATAATTTAGTCACAAGTACACAAGTGCCACGCCCCCCGCCGTGACAATAACTATTGGGAAAACCCGCTTGTCCTGCTTGGGTGCAAATGTCCATCGCCGCTAATTACCTACCTACCTGCTCTACGCCGCGGTGTCGAAATTTCCTATAATAAAATTTGACCCTTCGATTACCCCAGGTACAAAGACAATTTGGTGTCGAAAGTTCGCCCGCTGGACTGTACATAGGTAATATATAATACTCAATTATTTAAATAATTTAAAGGATTTTTAACAAATGAAATATTGTATCAACCTTTTCTTTATTGTTTACTTTGTAGTTTTGCACTCTACTATATCTTTATATTTTTCAATTTCTTGCAATAAACAAAGTTCCTCCTCTTTGCTAAAGTTTGTAGAACGTTTCTTTGATTTGTCCATTTTAAGTTTTTTCAATTATTTAATTAAAAGTACTTAATAGTAATAATTAATGATATAGATATTATACTAATAGAAATACTAGGTACCTAATATTAATAAAATTAGTGGTTAACTAGAATTAAAAAGTAAGTAATATATAATATTAATAATAATGAACTATAACTAACTAATGAACAAAGTAATTTTTAAGAAATTAATCTAATTAGAAAGAAAAGTATAGTAATGATAATAAACTAATTAATTTTTAGAAATAGAAATAATAATATTAGTTAGTAGTTTAAGTTAAAAGTAGTATTAGTATTAAAGTTAATAATAATTAAATTAAATCTGGATTAGTAATTAAGTAATAGTAAGTAATTTAAGTTAAAAACCAACAATTATAATAGTATATCAATCTTGTAAGTAGAATACAAACGCGCGAAATTCGGCAAAATGGCTAAAATATATGACATTCAATGTCATTATTTCCATTTTAGTTCAAATACATCATAATTCAGTTTATCCAACAGTATAAAATTTCATTAAAAGCCACTTTACTTAAAGAACCCTTTAAAGCGAGTTATGAAATCAAATATCGTTAACAGCCACTTGTAAAGTCGACTTTGACATAAAGTCTCCTTTTACTAAAGTCCACTTTAGGGAATGATTATGAAAGCGGTCCTAAGAGACAAATAATTTTTCAAAGTTAAAATTTAACCAATATTTCGTACAGAATCAATGATAACACCGTTTAACTCATAGAACTTGATTTTTATCGGTTAACATTTGACCTTCAATGTAAATATAACTGTTACATGGTTAAGTATAAGCGTCTAGGAATACTAGCGAATACCTTTCATTTCCCAATTCCAAAATATGATGTTTAAGCACCTCGGTGGTAGAAACACAAACTTATCATCCAGTTCCAAAACAACAGAATCTAAAAATTTCGATGCAGTCACCTTGGCTTCAGAAATTTTGTATGGAACATTTATTTGAAGTTTTTTTAACTTTATGATATGTTTTCGTTGTCCTTCTAAAAGAAGAAACCCATTTAGTGCTTTTAAATCCATTTTTTTTCTGAAACGTATCACAAATTACTAAACTGTTAACACTTAAAACACTTAACTTACCGTTAAATAACACACCGAACTGTTAAATAACAAACTGAGTTATATTTAAATACCACTGACTGAGATACTTAACGCAACGTAATGCTTTCAGTGAAGACTTTCAACTTACTTTAAAACGCTGTTTGCTTTAGTCTTTTATAGGAAATCATGTGAAAGATATCCGGTGTTAACCTTGTTATTGACGCTGACATCGACATAGACATCAACCTTTACCTTTGACCTTTAACATTTGACCTTTGAATCCCCATTATTTAACGTTTATACTATTTGCCTCACTATAGTCTATTAGCTTATACAATGTACTAATTAATAAATTAGATTTAATTCTTTTGATTTTTCAATGTAAATCACTCTATATTAATCAATATAATAACTTATAGATAACACCTGTCGCCTTGTACATTTTAAAAATTATTATTTGTGGTACTAATGCCCGTATTTATACTCGGTACTCAAGCTCGTGCTTGAGCACCAGCTCCGCCAAGACGAACTTACGTCAAAGTCATGCTCAAGTATTTGTTGTGTTCTATAAACGATACTTCGGGTATTCTCGTACAAGGTTGATCTCAAGTACGAAAAATTAGTACAGTACAAGTAAATTATGAGTAAACATCGAAAAAAAGAAGATTCTGTCAATTTTCTCATAATTGTGACTAAACTTTTAGCGCCAAATTTAGTTTATGCTACTTACTGAAATTTTGTGTTTGAAATTAATATTGGATATTAACTATTTTAATGTATGTAATATATTATATAAAATATTTATTCTACAGAATTAATTTCCATTTTGTTACTGTGTCTGAGGCATAATTTTAGATGTTCAAAATATATGCTTAGATGTATCTTTGTTTCTGGATATATTTATATGTGTGTAATGCGTTACAATCATTTTAATTATATTGTATGTGTAGGCTGTACGCTAAAGCTGTAAGCTAACTGGAAATAGCAGTAACTATGCACCTTACTCAACAAAGGAAAAAGTTCTCCTTATACAGCTGGTAACAAAAAACGGTGTGGTAGAGAACAAAAGGACAAACGGTGCTTCGGCAATGGAGAAAAAGATGGCTTGGGAGTTCATAACAACAAATTATAACTGCCAACTGAGGTCAACAACATCTTGCTGCAAGTCAACAACCGTTACTAATCATAGAAAGCGGAGGCCAAGATTCGGCAGAAGAGGAGAAACATATTTATACCACGAGGCCTCTCAGGTCGTAAACATGCGAAAACCTCATGAAGAAATCCTAAAAATGAAGAAATCTAATTGAAGAATGTGCACATGCAATGTTAGAAGTCTATTCGCGGCTGGGAAACTTGACAACGCAATTCAAGAAATGAAAAGAATGAAAATAGACCTACTGGGAATCAGCGAAATGAGGTGGCCAGAGTCAGGATCATGTAAAAAGGACGGAATTGTATTATATTATTCCGGTAACAGCACAGAAGACCCGCATCACAACAATTCTTCTTCTTTGGGTGCCGTCTTCAATGAAGGTTGGCGATAACCTCAGCAAAATCATTTCTGTCCCTGGCTTTTCTTATTAAAGATTGAGAATCCAAACCAGTCCACTCACGAATGTTCTTCAACCAGGACGCCTGCCGTCTACCAGGACCACGTTTTCCTTCTACCTTCCCCTCTATAAGAAGCTGCAGTAGCTGGTATTTCTCATTTCTGTATATGTGTCCCAAATATGAGGTTTTCCGTGTTTTCATTATTTTTAAGAGTTCTCTGTCGGTACCCATCTTGTGTAGGACCTGCTCGTTGCTCATATGCGCTGTCCAAGGGACTTTCAGCATCCTTCGAAATAACCACATTTCAAAACTTTCCAAACGCCTTAGTGAGTTGATTTTGAAGGTCCAGGCCTCCATTCCATATAGTAAGGTGCTGTAAACGTAACATTTCAGCATTCGGTATCGGATTTTGAGATTGAGTGTTTGGGTCTATATCTTTCGTTATCCAGCACCCTAGATATCGAAATTTCTCGACATTTTCGATAATATTACCATTCACGTTTAAAGCCATAGGTGGATGGATGGATGTTTTGGAGACAATCATTGTTTTTGTTTTCTTGACGTTAATGCTGAGGCCGTATTGTTCTCCGATCGATCTGACGCGATCTAAGAGTGTCTGGAGATCCTGTGCGCTCTCTGCAATTAGGACCGTGTCGTCGGCGTATCGTACATTATTTAGAACTCTGCCGTTAATTTTAACACCTTCTCTTGATTGCTCTAGTGCTCGTGCAAATATTTCTTCCGAATATATATTGAAAAGTAGTGGTGACAATACACACCCCTGTCGTACACCTCGCTTGATATTGAATATTTCTGTGTCACCGGCTTCTGTTCTAACTGCTGCAGTTTGGTTAAAATACAGCGTTTGGATAATTTTAAAATCGTTCTCGTCTAGTCCCTTTTTGTGAAGGCAATCCATCAGCTTATCATGTTTTACTTTGTCGAAGGCCTTTTGATAGTCAATAAAACATAAAAAGAGATCCTTTTTTTGGTCTCGACATTTTTGCAGCAGTATAATAAAACTGGTTAATGCTTCCCGTGTCCCAAATCCATTTCGGAAGCCAAATTGTTCATCACTGATATCCTGTTCACATTTCTTATAAATGCGTTGGTGAATAACTTTCAAGAATAACTTTAACATATGCGACATTAAACTAATAAGTCTGAAATCACCACACTTCTTTGCTCCCTTAGTTTTTGGAAGGGGAATAAAGACTGATTTTAACCAGTCTTGTGGAATTTCACCGCTTGTATATATTTGATTAAATAATTTGACGATTATATTTAAATGTTTCTCTTCCAGTAGCTTTATGACTTCCGTATGTATGTCATCGGGGCCAGGGGCTTTCCCATTTTTTGCGTTTTTGATTGCTCTCTCTACTTCTTGTTTTAATATAGGAGGACTGGTTTCATGGTTTTTATATATTATGTTGTTTAGTGGTGTGTCCGAGAATAGTTCTTCTATGTAATGTCCCCATACGTTGTTTAGATCGCTTAATTCCCATATCGTTTCATTCTCGTCGTTTGTTAATCTACAAGGGTGTCATCTACAATCAATGTGACAATGTCAATCTACAAGGGTGTATCAAGGGTTAATCTACAAGTCTATCACAACAATGGTGTAGGTATATTAGTAACATCAGAACTGAGTAAGTATGTGACCAATTTCGTACCAGTCTCGGATAGAATAATATTACTCCAAATAAATACTCAACCATTTAAAACTAACATACTTCAAATATATGCCCCGACTGAAGATAGAAAATATAACGATGAATTCGAGAAGTTGTATAATCAGATCCAAGATATCTTACAGAAAATTAATAAACACGAAATTTTATATATTATAGGCGACTTCAATGCAAAAATTGAAGAAGGTCAACGAAGTCAGACTGTAGGTCCTTATGGTTTAGGATAACCTAACGATCGAGGACAGAGATGAATTAGTACGAATTTTGTAAAGAAAACGATATGATCATTGCAAACACCTGATATAAACTACTCAAGCGACGACTAAGCCCCATTTAGTGATGGCAATAACTCTGAGTCTTCAAGAAATCAAATAGACTATTTACTTGTAAAGGAGCGTTTCCGAAATGCCGTCAAAAAGTCACTACATATCCTGGGGTAGATATTGGATCTGATTATCAACCACTTGTAGCAGATATTAAACTAAGGTTAAAACGAATTAAGCGACAAAAACCAAAAACCAATGTACTTAACTTTGACGATATAAACATAAACCATAACATTAAAAAAGAATTTAACAATAGAATAAAAAACATCGGAGAACAACTAAAAGTTCCAGAAAAACTATGGAGTGAATTGTAAAACCAAGTTAACGAAATCTCCACAAACAATGATTATAGAAAAAAC